GAAGTACTTTCTATGTGGCACCTAATACGTCAGCTGGCATATTGCAGATAGTCAGTAAAAATGTGTAAATGGAAGAAGGAAGTCAAATGTGTCCAAATCTGAATTTATTATTCCTTCCAAATTTGCTCCTCTTCCTCCTGTCTGCCATAATTCATACCATAATTCACTCAGAAACTCAAGCAGAACCTAAAAGTTGTCCTTGAGTCTTACATAATGATTCACCAAGTTCAGTAGATTCTGCAAACTTTATCTCCAGATTATATCATCTTACCGCCATTTCATTTCCACTTCTTCCATTCAGGACCTCACTCTCATTTCAGATAGCCTTCAGGCTGGCCTACCTGTTTCTGGTCTCTCCCTGTCCATTCCTTCCTCTGTGAACCAACAGGAATGATCTTTCTAAAACACTAACCTGAATGTTTTGCTCCCTGCTTGAAACTCATAGCCTTCAGAATAAAGTCCAAATTCCTAGTTTGGACTACAAGACCCTTTAAGAACTGTTTGTACTTCTCTAGTCTCGACTTCAGTGACTCTTCTTTTCACACCAGATAGTCCAGTTATGCTCAGCTACTTGCATTTTCCTGAATATTCTCTTTTCCAACCTCGTGTCTTTCTCTGCACTGTTCCTTCTGCTTTGAATTTCCTCTCAGCCTTAACAACTCCTATTTGACAGAGCTTTTTGTACTAGGTAATTCCTGCTTATCCTTTAGTTTAGGTCTACTCTTTCCCAAAAGCTCTCTCTGAATGAAATCTCCCTGTTTGTAAGTTAGGTTGCTGTGCTTAAATTTTTTGGTTTCAGGGAACAGAAGTGTGCCCAGGATGCTTATGTAATTGGACTTTCTTATATGGATGCAAAAGTAGCTCTGTTCCCATTCGCTGCTCTTCTGGTGTCTTCCTCTCATCATGCCTAATATCATTTCTGGTTTCACCCTTTTTGTCTCTCGTGTTTTCTTTAAGTTTCTTCATTCATTCATCCTCTGCTGTTGTACTACAGCTTGGGTTCTTTCAAATTGGTGGGCCCTTGATTCCACCATCAATTTGACTGACCTGCTCTTGACTCCAGATTTCTAGTTCTCTTTGTGACTTTTCTCTGGAGTAATTTACACTGAAAATCTAGATGAATAATTGGCCTTGCTATTTACCATGACACCACTTGGGCAGAAATTTTTGCACTAGGCCATACCACCCAACCAGTGGATTGGCTGCCCTATGATTAGGTGCTCAACCCTTGTCTAGTCAGTAGCCATCTTTTTTTCAAAAACATCTGTCTCTCAGCATGGGTTTACAAATGAGTCATTTTGCCTTGTTAAGGATCGGATGAACTTGGCAAACACCATGATTGACATGTCTGACAACTTTCTCTGCGTCCCTGAAGCCCTATATATATGAGCTTTGTCATCAGAGAATTCATACCATTTTGTATTGGTTGGTCTCTAACATAAGACTATGGCTTCAGACTGAAGATACAGAGTGGGTTTTATTTTGATGTCATGGGCTCCTAGCACTGTGCATGGCACACAATAGACTTTTAGTAAGTGTTTGTTGAATAAAAGTATAAATTAATACTTTGTCTGAGGTATGGGTTTTTGTTTTGTTTTTTGTTTTTTGTTTTTTGTTTTTGGTTATTCCCCTCCCCAGGTGATTCCTGTCTCTCTGTCTTCCAAATACCTGGAAAGGCTTAAGAACAATGTGATGGTAATTGAAACATGGAACAAGGTGCGGAGCCCAGGACAGGACAAGCTGCTAGGGCTGGTGAAACTCCCTCTTCATCAGTTTTACATGTCATTCAAGTAAGTAGGACCCCTTGGAGTACTCTATTCTACATCTTTTAACTTTGTGAGAACTGAAGAGGAATATTTTTGGTTTGCAAACATGACCAGTCCAGTAATTCCTTGGAGGAACTTTCCTCAATTTCACCACAGTTACTACTCTTTCTCCTGTGTTTTAGCATTCTTACAGATACTGCTTTCCACGTTTCAGGCCTTCTGCTAAGAACCTTACATATATCAAGTCACTTAATCCTCATTACAATTCTCTGAGGCAGGTAACTTTTATTTTCCCTATTTTATAGATGAGTTAACAGAGGCCCAGAGAAGTTGTATAACTTGTCGTTTATATCGTAAAGTAGTAGATCAGGGTTAGAACCCAGAGAGTCTGGGTCTGCAACCCACTCTTCTCACCAAGAAACTCAACTGTCAAAGGCTATCACCTCACAAAACTAGTGGTTTACCTCGCAAAACTGATGGTTTATCTCTATCACAAAACTTTGGTATTGTTCACATCAACTACTTGCAAGATTTCTATACTGAGTGTTGTCTTTCAGGCCTTCAGATCTGATTGCTATACCTTACTTATCACTGTGCCAAACCTAGATGAGGTATTGATTTATCTGAAGGCTATTTCTTTCCTCAGTATAGACTGTTCATTTTTTGTTGTGATTCAGAGTACTGATTTTTAGTTATTTTAGCACTGATCTCTTTCCTAACAGCCTTCTCTTGGTTCTGTGTTTTAAATGCTGTATTTCAAATCTTAGAAAAGAGCACCTTTGTGGGCACTTTCCCATGTGAGCCTTTCTATCATTCCTGGAGGTATTGTCATTCTCATTTTATAAATGAGGAAACTTGTCATCTGACTTGGAGATGGCAGCCTCTCTGGCTTTCTTTTCATCATCTGTAAAATGAGGGTGATAATAGATCCCCTTTCTCCCTCTTGAAGCAATTGTGAGGATTCAGTGAGAAAATAAATGGGTAAGCCTTTGGTGAACAGTTAAATACTTACATGATGGTAACACTGGAAAGCCAGGTCAGGCTAAGGAGTACTGCTGGATGCATGAATACCATTGTCAGCTCTAGGTATTTGGCTTTTTCCATTTTTTTGTTATGATATTGGTCTGGTCCCTTCTCATTTCATTAGAGACATTCTTTGCTGAGAGAGCGTAAAACAATAGTAGCTACCAATTACTAAGCTCTTATCATGTGGGTATTTTATATTTGTTATCTCATTTTAGTCCTAACAACAGCCCTTTGATGGAAGTTTTATTAACTACATTTTACAGATGAGGAAACAAATGTAAAAAGTTACATTGATTATTTAGAGTCATACAGCAAGTAAGACCAATCTAAGATTCAGAATGGTATAATGAAGAGCATTTGGACTTTTTCTCATCTGTTAAGAGTGGATAATAGCAACCTTTGCAGTGTTAGAAGGACTATAGAAACTTTTATCAGGTGCTTACCACAAAGTAAGCACTCAGTAAATGGCAGATATTATTGGTAATATTATCCAAATGTTCTGCTAATCTCCAAAATCCATACTTTTTCTAGTTGACCAGACTGCCTACCTGTAAAATAATGCAATTCAGCAAACCTCTGCTGAGATAGTGCTCGATCCCAGACACTGGGCTTGGGCCATGATGATACAAAGATAAGTTAGACTCCCTGCCTTCAAATTGCTACATTTGGAACTTTTCTGCCTGGTCATTTTTATTTGCTGGACTATAGATAGAATTATTTTTTTTTTTTTACTTTTCTAGTTGTAGATCCATTTTTAACAGACAGAGAAAATGACCCAAGAAAGAAATGAAGGAACTCTGTGACATGATTGATGATTGTTATTTTCTCATTCACAATTTCTCTCTCTTTAGAGATCCTAAGATTTCTCGCCTGCTGCTTGATGCTCAGTACCCAGTTGTTGCTGTCGACAGCTACATGCCTGTGATTGATGTATTCTCAGGACACCAAAATGGGAGACTTCGAGTCTTCTTAGCTATGGGTTCTTCAGATCAGATAATAGCACTACAGAGATTAAAGAATGAAGAAGGAACACTTCCTCCCTTCAACTCCAGGCCAGCATATTTCCTGAACCAGCCATCTGTAGCATCTGTTGCTATGGTAGTGACTAAACAGTTGATTGTTTACAAAAAGCATAATCTTATTTTAAGACATACAATGTGATATTTTGATAAATGTGTATGTTGTGAAATGATTACCACAATCAAGCTAACATATCCATCATTTCACCTACTTACCTTTTGTGTATGTTTGGTGAGAACACTTAAGATCTACTGTCTTAGCAAATTTCAAGCATCATAATCTCATTTTATCTTGCACATTTTGGTGAAATCATTGCCCCAAATTCTTATTTCAGTAGTGAAAGGCTCAACAAAAGAATATACTTGCACTCCAGTGCTTGCTGTAGATCAAAGAAATCATTAGTATTTTTCTTTCACGGTTTAAATGGCTATCTGTGTCCTTCTGAGGTTCTTGAATTTATACGAAAATGTAATTGGATAACCAGATCTTAATCCACTAATTTACTGACTTAATTGCCTTTTAAAAAAATTGGGACGAGCATAAAACCATTCCCCCTAAAAAGAGTCTCAAAAAGAAAATAGTCTTGGGGAAAAAATTGGGGGTAGGAGTGGGAGAGTGACCCAAATGTAAGCCAGCAAAATCTTACTCTTGATCAAATCGATTTTGGAAAGTTAAAGTGAAGTTCCTTGCTTTTCTACTAGTAACTTAAAAGCAGTTTGTACAGTGCTGTACAAGTGAGGAAGCACACTGACGTTCTTTATTATATTTCCCTAATAACTACATGAAGTGCGTCGTTGTCATTCCCTTTTTTAGATGATAAAACAGAGAATCGAAGAGGTTATATTACTTGTCCAGGATCACAAGTGGGAGAATTGGTGTTCAGACACAGGTCTTCTGACACTGAGTCCACTATATCATGTCCTCCTGTATCTTTCATTTGATTTCTTTACTAGTGTAGCCAAGTCTCAGTCTCCATATCATTAAGTATGTTTTGTTTTTTAATCTGAATCTGAATGACAAATTTAATGTGTCTAGCTGAGAAAGAACTATTAGGAAAATGTCTATTGGTAGGTTATTGTTTATTAGGAACTCTCAGCTTTGTTCTTTCTGGTATATGTTAGTGTCTATCAACAGACAATGGTGGGAGTTTTTTTGTTTTGTTTTTTAATTTAAGAATGACAGAGGGAGGCCTTAGTTCTCTTTCCCATCTTGCAAGATGGCGGGTGAAAAAACGGAGAAGCCAGACACCAAGGAGAAAAAACCTGAAGCCAAGAAGGCTGATGCTGGCGGCAAGGTTAAAAAGGCTAAGAAGGTTAAGAAGTGGAAGCCCCATTGCAGCCACAACCCTGTCCTGGTCAGAGGAATTGGCCAATATTCCCGATCGGCTATGTATTCCAGAAAGGCCTTGTACAAGAGGAAGTATTCAGCAGCTAAATCCAAGGTTGAAAAGAAAAAGAAGGTGAGGGTTCTTGCTACTGTCACAAAACCAGTTGGTGGTGACAAGAACGGCGGTACCCGAGTGGTCAAGCTTCGCAAAATGCCTAGATATTATCCTACTGAAGATGTGCCTCGAAAGCTGTTGAGCCATTGCAAGAAACCCTTCAGTAAGCACGTGAGGAAACTGCGCGCCAGCATCACTCCGGGGAACATTCTCATCATCCTCACTGGGCGTCACAGAGGCAAGAGGGTCATTTTCCTGAAGCAGCTGAGCAGTGGTTTGCTTCTTGTGACTGGACCTCTGTCCCTCAATCAAGTTCCTCTGCGTAGAACACACCAGAAATTTGTTATTGCCACCTCCACCAAAATTGACATCAGTGGTGTAAAAATCCCAGAACATCTCACTGATACTTACTTCAAAATGAAGAAGCTGCGTAAGCCGAGACACCAGGAAGGCGAGATCTTCGACACAGAGAAAGAGAAATACGAGATTACAGAGCAGCGCAAGGCTGATCAGAAAGCTGTGGACTCACAAATTCTGCGAAGAATCAAAGCTGTCCCTCACCTCCAGGGCTACCTCCGCTCTGTGTTTGCTCTCACAAATGGAATTTATCCTCACAAATTGGTGTTCTAAACTTACTACATAGAACCTAATTAAAGAACGGATCCATTTCAAAAAAAATAAATAAAATAAAATAAAATAAAAATGACAGAGGGAGAGGGTATAGCTCAAGTGGTAGAGCACATGCTTAGCATGCAGGAGAGCGTGAGTTCAACTCCCAGTACCTCCATTTAAACAGACAAACAAACAAACAAATAAGCAAGCAAGCAAGCCTAATTACCTCCCCCCACAAAAAAATTAAAATGACATAAAAGCACAAATAAAAATGATCCATAATATTCCAAAGTCTTATGTAGGTGTTATATGGCCCTCACTTCACAGTGTAGACTTAGATCTTTTATTCATACTGAAAGCTAGAAAATAATACTAAGAGCACAAAAGAAATCCTTAAGAGGTTAGATATCTGCAAATACAGTTGTTTTTCCTTCTACATTCAGTGTCCATCTAGTTCAGTGCCTGCAGAACTGAATTATTAAATTACTGTGTGAAATACTGTATGGCCAAATTAAACAGCTGCTGTAATTCTGAGAAGTTTTTTTTCCCCCCATATTTTTCTTTTCTGGGGAATCAAACTGCAAGTTTTCTGTTTCCCTAAGAAAGGTTTTTGAGCAGATACACTGACATACGCTTTTCGACTTCAAGGCAATCTTTGTTCCAAATTTTTTGCATTCGTAGTTAGAATACTAAAGCGTGTAAATCATGCAGTCTGATCCTTATCTGAATCCTGAATTCCCCTTTGAATATTTGCAATAATCAGTTGTCTAGTGTCTGAAATAGAGGTCAAGAATATTGGCTCTGGAGTCATACTACCCAGTCAAACCCCAGTTCCACTGTTGTTAGCTGTGCATGTCAAATTAGCTAATGTAAGCGAAGGGCTTAGTACAGTGCCTGGTTCACAGTAAGTAATAAATACGTTATTAATTGTTATTAGTAGAAATACATTCAGTAACAGTATATTCACTCCTTCCCCAAGTAGTCCTTATCATTAACAAACTGTCTCAGTATATTCCCAACTTCATTAAAAATAATAAGTAAATTGATCCCTGTTTGCTTCAAATATGTATTCTTTTTCCTATGAAGGAAATAGCCTTCTTGGTGTACTAAGAATCAAGAGCAGGTGTTAAATTTTAATAAATGCCTTTTTAGCCTTTATTGAGATAGTCATTTTTTCTCCTTTCTCCATGAACATACTAGATTACATTTCTGGATCCTGATATTGACCCAGTCTCACAGTCTGGATTAAATCCTGCCTGATCTGATTACAGTGATCAGTTGTGAGATTTATATACAATGAAGATTAAGTACCTGTTTTAGTATCAGCTAATTAGTTGTGCTTATTTCTTCATCTGTTCTCAGACTTCAAAGAGAAGCAGAAATATTCTAAACAAGTTACTCTTTAAAGCTCACCAATGTCTCTTTCATTTAATAGGCAGGGGACCAAGGAAATGGATTGATGGAGCACCACTTTGAGCTCCATGTAGACAAAGTTAAAGGGCTCACCCCTCTTCAAGCAACAGTCTGGGGAGAAGCAGATTGTTATGTCCAATACTACTTTCCAGTTCAAGACTCGCAATCCAATGTGCTGAAAGGACCTGAATTCCTTGAAAATGGTAGGTTTGGGAGATTGGGCCTTCTCATTCTTACGTGGCTCTTTTACTGAAGATACTTAGGAATATTTTTTTCCTGAGTGAGTTTTGTGTTCCTCAATGTTTCTACTCTTACCTGGGCAGTACAGGAGCTAGTCTGAGTTTTTATTTTTCTTAAATTGTTTTTTGTGGCATTTTATTTTGATTTGATTTCAAATTTATGGAAAAATAAGCAAAAATCGTACAAAGAACTTCTGTATGCCCTTTACCTAGATCCAGCAATTATTTACATTTTGTCTCATTTTATATCATTTACAGACCTACTCACTCTTATCCTCTGTAAACATACAGTTTTATACACAGTAGTTACATTCTACAAAGTTATAAAGAGCATGAGTTAGAGGGTTTTGAACCATTACTCCTGGGGAATACGTGTACATACCATATTGCACATAGATCATAATCTTAAATCCTAAAACGGCTTATCCTGGTAGATTCTATTTGCTTTATTTTACAGAAGAGAGAACGAGGTTCAGAGTGTCAGTGACTGAGGCTGCCCCAGTAACACGTGCCAAGGTTGGCATTCAAACCCTGTCCCGCTGGCCCCCGAACCAGAGCTTCTGCACTTCATTGCACTGCGCCTTACCAGCTCTGTCTTCTGCTTATCTCTGAGAGCTAAAACAAGAAGGCAGTGGGTCTCCCTGTTTGTTTAGTCTCAGCTGTGAGTGAGCAGGTTGGATGACTCAAATTTTTGCCATTCTGAGCATGTCTATGAATAACAGTGAAAGTGCTGCCAGTATTGGTTTTAAAGTTCAAATAAAGGACTTGTATCCAGAATATATAAAGAACTCTTACAAACCAATGATAAAAATTTGACAACCCAATTAAAAAATGGGCAAAGGATCGAAATAGACATTTCTCTAAAGATATACAAAAGATCTTTGCACATGAAAAGATACTTAACATCATTCTTTGGGGGATGAAGATCAAAACCACCACAAGATACCACTTCATACTCACTGAGTTGGCTATAATATTTTAAAAAAACAGATTAACAAGTGCTGATAAGGAAGTGAAGAAGTTGGAACTCTCACACATCGGGATCCCTTCACAAAGGGATCTCTTTCCTCTGTATTATCATAGCACCTTAGGGGACTATAGCTGCTAGGGAAATGGACCTTGGTAGGAATAATGCAGTCAGAAGATACAGATTCTGGTTTCAGGTCCGTCGCTTACTAGCTTTGGGTTCACCATGTAATCTCAAGGTGTCCATATTCTCATCTGTGCAAAAGTAGTAATACCTGCTTTGTTTCTTTAACAGGAGTATTATGATGATAAAATTGAATAATACTGGGTATTAACATATTGTCTTACTACATATAAAACACTAAATGATGTGTTGGATTATTCTGAACTGCTTTTCTTTTCCATAGGAATCACTCTGAAGCCTTTCAGATCTGCAACCACACTCTGTGTTCCAGATCCCGTCTTTAATAGTGAGCACCATCACTCTCTTCTGTTGCCAACTGAAGTTCCAGTGCAAAGGCTCCTACTCAGTGCCTTCTCTTCACGTGGGCTTGTGCCTGGAGGTGGAGTCCAGTTTGAAATCTGGTGCAGGTAGTGTGGAGAACCCATTCCTGTGCCTAGGAAGAAAGGGCACAATCACTGAGCAACCCTTACCTTAATTAACCCAGACTGAATCGTAAGGAAGCTAAGAGGCCCCTTCTGCCCTGTTTAATATTATTTGGGTTTGATAGTGACGCTTGCCCAGATTTTACTGAAATCTGTTAAACTGTTAGGCTCTTGGGATTAGTTGTATCTTATACTTCTAACCACTACTTACATTTGGAAGGAAAGTTTTAGTTTCATCTCTTACTGTCACTCAAACATATCAGTCACTTTTTTTCTGCTCCTTTTCCTGCCTTATATAGTTCAGACCCTGATCATATCATGCCTAAGTTACTGGAACAGCCTCCTAACTGGTCTCCCCACTTCTAGACTCATTTCTTGCAATCTGTTCTTCCCACCACTGGAAGAGGAGCCTTTGTAAAATATAAATCCACTTATGTCACAGACTTCGGCAGATTTCCAGGGAAGATAATGGCATGAATACAGATGTTTAACCTCCCCCTTTGCATCACTACCTCCAAGAAACCAACTAAACTGACTAAGAGAACATAAGTATAAAAGGAGAGGGAATAGCATCAGAGTATACCTATATAATACTGGGATTTATACCATAAGGGCTCAGAATTGAGAAGAGTACCGTCTACTTGCCGGAAAGTTTTCCTAAATGCAGTCAGGTGAACGTTAGGTTTGATTTACAACCTTGTAATGTGGGAATGGAATATTTTGACTTGAGGAGGAAATAGAGTAGATACTAACAGATCCTTATCACCCCTCCAAAATTGGGGGTTTGGCCTGAAGCCATAGAAGAAGTTGGGACTGTTCCACTTAGAACCACTTGTGCTGCAGGATGGTTGCTTTTAGGAGTGGCTATGCCCAAAGGATCAAGCCAGATGCAGACTCATCAAACAGAAAGCCTGTGGGAAGCTGGGCTCGACACTGAACACAGTATAATTTATGAGTTCCCATAATAGTAAATCTAACCAGACATGACCATAGCTGTATACCACAAATACAGAACATAATGAACAGTAAATCTAGCCAGACATGACCTTAGCTGTATACCACAAATACAGAACAATCAGGCTCCAAAGAAAACTAGATACTGAAAGCTGATCCTTAGGACAGAATAAATCATTCATCTGCCTAATTCTTCCAGCTGATAGCTTTTGCTTTTGTGGCTTACAGGTACTATTATCCTAATGTGAGAGAACAGATGGTCGCCAAAGGAACCTTGCCATTATCGAGACTCTGTGCCATTGTTACCATGCAGCACCGTAATGATGTGGAAATACAGACCTTTACTCTCCCTTTAACCCCCAGGCCCGAGAGTGGGAAAGATCAGAGGAACCAATCATCAGGTAACTAAAGATCAGTGCATCTTTCCCTTTCAGAGTCAATAGATGTAAATATCCCTTTTCTCTCTAAATTAATGATTCTTCACATTTTGTAGTACTTACCCTTTTAGGAATCTGATAAAAACTGTGAGACACTTTCTCTTAGAAAATGACTATAAAATATACAGTGCAAATTTTTCATATAGTTTTAGAGAATTCATAGTTCTATAGACTTTCTATATTAATGTTGTAAATTAATTTCACTTTAACTTCCACAAGCATTTGATAAGCCCTTGTGGTATAAATCCCAGTATTATATAGGTATACTCAGGAAATTATTATTCCAAGGCAGCATAATGTAGGATTGGTAGAATGTACTCAGCATGAACTGGGAAATTCATTATAAGGGAGGAGGAAGTTAGGATTTAAAGTTGAAAGGGATTCATTAGAATTTGGACTTTTGGATCATATCCTAATAGTTCCAGCAAGATAACCTATCCTCTAAATACAT